TTTTTATTAAAACCAAATCATCAAATTGATGAAAAATTTTTACCTGTGAATGGTAGTACCTAGCCACACTCTCAAATTCTTTTTTAATTGCTTGAGATTCGGCATCCCATGGAGCATAGTATAGAACGAAACTGAAATCTGAATCCGTCACTCTTTCAATCAGTGCATTCAAATGTCCCTTGTAGTAATCCAAAACTACAGAGCTCTCATTGAAAAATGGTCTTGCTATAGGTGGCTTCGAAACTCTTGGTGGCCTTAAAACAAGGTAAAATTTGCTTACCATTGATCCACCAATTGTAAATATATTTAAATCATCAAAAAGAAACTCACGAGCTATGCATGGCAGCCAATGCTGTAAAAATAACAGCGAGAAAGAAGCATATCGTCTCTCTAGCGTATGTCAACATCTTGCTGGACAATTTCCTCTCAAGAGTTGACTTTACTTTGCAATTTTTATTTTTGTTCTTAGCCACAGCTTTCTCTGTGTGTTCCGATTTCTCCTCATTTCTCGATGGTCTGTCAACTGGCTCCTCTGATTTGCAGTTCTCCTTGATGGTCATTATCTGCCAACGCAGGCACCTGGCCCACTCAGAAAACAAACTCCTGCTCCAAACATTAGAGCACCATTGGCACCCTAAACTGTTACCACCTTTCTCTGTTATTCCAATTTTGTTCCACCACCTCTAAGGAGATCTCATTGTCCAGTAGTCTTTATATTTTATGCTCTGTACTCTGTAATAACAAAAAAATCATTTAAATGGCACTTGCAAAATTTTTTTTATCCTTACAGTCATACCCTATACAGTAACTATAGATTTATTATTCATAAGTCAAAGTACAGCTAGCTTGTGAAACGAATACCTTGCGAGTAAAATATTTAAGAGTATAAAAAATTCAATACTATACCAAAGAAGTACCAACCCATTCCAATGGATTGTTGAAAAATGAAATTCGCATTCAATTTACTGTGATCACCTTATTTTTTTTTAACTTGATTGATCAAGATTCTAATTTTAATTCAATTGAACTTAACAAAGGACTGGATGTATAAATAACAGCTCCCCTGATAAAAATTACGTAACGATAAAATGCAATACTCACGACCGATTTCAGTCCAAACAGTCAAACATCCAATCGACAGTTGACAACAAAAAGTGCCTATACATACTTTATATTTTATCGCCAATGACGATGCCTATAGCTTGGAAAAATGCAGCTACAAACATGCAATGATTCTCTTCTATAGCAACGTCACCCGGTAATTAAATAAACGGTCGTTCACTTGCTGCTATCAAGAAAAGGGTGAAACCAATTCAGGAGGGTTGTTTTTTCCAAATGGCATACGTGGAGCTTTTTCCTCCTCCCCCACCTCTATATTCTTTTCTCAGTTTTGTAAAAGAGATATGATCTTTAACTCCTAATGGGGAGGAACAAAAAGAGGTAGATTTTTACGTGCGTAAGCTCATTTTGAATTTGAATATTATTTTTTTTCATCTGACGTAAGTAGATTAGATACTTGAGTAATTGCGCACATGAATAATGAGCTACTAAATATTATCATTAGAAAATTGAGTGGACTCCTTGTATCGATCATAAGATGCTTGTTTCGATAAAGAAATACACCATAAAAATGTCTAGTCTTTGCAGTTATAGCAAAACTCATTAAAAAATTAATTTGGAATGGTGTCGAAAAGAAAATTTAGTCCAACAAAGATTAAATTGCTCTAAATTGTCAACCAGTTTTATTGATTATCCTCAAACGTAGTTGAAAATGTGCCGATTGAACTGCATTCCTTTGTAAGCACAATTGATTATTTTCTCCGTATGCTTTTGTACAGTGGGTCGATGTACGCAAATGTTGCGACAAATCAATTTTCGGGTGATAAAAATGTTCATCCGAAGCTTCGTAATTGAATTAACTTACATTAGAATGGCTAACTAATGGAGTGTGCATTTGTAGGAAGAAGGAAATTCCCGGGGTTGAGAAAAAATTTCTCGGAATGACTACTTAATTAAAGAAAGAAAATTCGATAAGCCATTTGTGTTTGGGCAAGTGTAGGAAGACAGTTATTATAATAAATTCATTAATAAATTTCATCACCAGTAGGTGTTCAACTTTGGTCCTACGATGTCGTCGTGCAATATCACCTTTGCTGTGCTTTTATTCATTTTCATTTTTTCCGAACCAATTTCACCTAGTAAGTATAAAAATACTCAAATAATTTTTACTCTTCAAGTGTGATTATTTTTAAAGAGTGACTTATTAAGTATCAACTGAATTATATAAACAAAAAATGTGTTGTTACGCGTTTAAAGTTTTTTAATTCGATACGTGTTTAATGAAAACTTGTCATATGATTTGCTTGGTGGGATTTAAAAAAAGTCAAGCGCTTTGAAATGTATGACAATAAGATATTAAAACAATAAAAATCAATAGACTGTAATGGTTTTAAGTTTATATGAAATTAAATTACACATCCTGTGTAATCGTAATTGCATTAAGTGCATACAAAGGTTTACGTATTGATGGAAAAAAATTATTTGTACGCTTAATAGTATGGTCGTCACCAAAGACGACAAAATATAAGACAGAAAATTTTGCAGTTTTCGAGTAGTGCGACATTGACTTTCTGAATAATAAAATATGAAAATATTTGTAAGGGATTCAAAAAGTAATATCATAAACGTAGACCGCATCAGAGGGTGTCCAACATAATAACTAGAAGTGTAAAATACAACTAATATTGTAAAAAGCGCAGTCTACACTGATGACCGTTTTTTTTTTTTTTGTTTTTTTTCTTCAGTAAAATGCATTTTAAAATTTAACGATTGCGTTCCAAGTATTAAACGTTATATTATGCGCTGAACGAATCTTGAGTGACGTCGTTACCTATCTTTGAGTACAATTTTTTGGTACTGTATATCGACGCCTCGTACGAAGTCTAGCCTTATTCACATTTTCTCATTGGAAAATCTGAATAAGGATAGACTTCGTACGAGGCGTCGATATAATAATATACACGTGTTGCTCTGGTAATAAAAGTAAAAGTCGAACTTAACAAAAAAGGAATATTATTTGTAAACTTCTCTATGGTCACTCGTTTAAATCAGCTTATTGAAGGATTTACGAAACAAAATTATGGAAAAGAAAAAAAAAATGAAATTTCATCCACCTCAGAGACAATCCAGTCAACAAAAAGAACGGATCCGTTGAATGAGGTAAAGAGGAGCAATGACTTCGCGACAGACCCCAAGTCCGAGTTACCAAAAAAAAAGCCAGCCGTGAGTAAGGGCAACTCCACAAGCTCCCCGTTATTGAGGAGTCACTCGGACAACCCCAACTGCACGAATGGCCAGCGCTACGAGATCGGTTTCGACGAGGACCAGGGCAGTTTTCTACGGACTATCGAGCTGTGCCACGACAAGAGCAGGGCCGTCACGTTGTGGGCCCACGCGCGCCTCACTCCCGCCAACAACAGTGACGTCTACAAGCAACCCAAGGATAAATATCAGAGTTTTTTCAGAACTGGAAGTCTGTACGGCGACATGCGCATGAGCACCGGTGGAGGAGCCTACTACGTGAATAACACCTGCAGGACCCTTGACTCGATATTAGGCGCCGAGGGAGCGTCGGCAAAGTACATATCGGTCAATCTGAGTGAGTTCAATAGGATTTACGAGTACATTTTTTTTTCCCCTAAGTTGCACACGACTAAAAGTGCACACCAGAGTGCGTATAGATGGTGATGATCGATTGATGGTATATGTATAAACACACCAGCAGTGTCTAATATAAGTACATCACATGAGCGATGTTTTCTTTCTCGTTCACTCACTAGTCTTTGGCACGCCAAAGTACAATAATGGGCACGCCGGGGTATATTATATTATGTCAAAAAATATGTCGCAATCATCAGTGTCCTTTCTCAAATAACATATATGTATATTATTCACAGAGTAATTTGGACGTTTACAGGGCGTAATAGGGTTCGGCACATGTGCTATATATACTCTATATAGTCTTTCGGGATGAAAAATGGCCCTGATAGCGCTAGCGCTTCTGTAGCGAAGGTTACTATTACTTCACGAGCGAGAAAGTAAGAAAATGGTGTCATTTATAATCTGTGCTCACCCACTATAATTCGGCATTACACATTTTTATCAGTACAGACATATTATTCGATCACCAACAATTACATTAACGAAGCTTCAACCAATAGAAATGGCACTACGAAAGTATATGCAACTGGAAAATAGTAAAATGAAATACAGAAACTTTGCAATGAAACACATTAAAATCGGCACTGTTTATACGTTTTTATATTTTAACTACGTTCATATATCTACATACGATACAATATGTATCGTCATTTGGATCAAGATAATTTATGGGATTACTGGTAAATATTTAAAATTAAAATTTATATCGGCTCGGTGGTGCGAATTAAAGACCCTATAATTAACCATAACCGGTACTACATCGGTACGACTCGCGTATATTTATTGAGAACATCGATCTGTGTATAACAACATGTACATGCCCCTTGAAACTACAGGCGAGCAGAAGTACTTGGCCAAAGGTCACCTCATCGCCAAAGCGGACATGACGTCAAAACTCCATCAGGACAGCACGATGTTCTACGCCAACGTGGTGCCCATGTGGCAGCAGGTAAACGCCAATCCGGGCAATTGGTTCTTCGTCGAGGAGTACGTGCGCCACTTGGCGTACCACAAGAACCACGAGCTGGACGTGTGGGCCGGTGGCGTCGGGGTCCTCAGACTCGAGGGCAAGGAGATACACCTGTACAAGCAAGGCACTGGCAAGGACCTCCAGCTCAGGATCCCCGTGCCCAAGGTCATCTACAAGTGTGTGGTTGATAGACAGGCCAAAGAGGCCCTTTGTTTTTTGGTGGTCAACAACCCCTACGCCGGAAAAACGGAGGTGGAAATGGCCAAGGGCGAGTACAGGGTGTGCCAGAAGCTCGAGACCTGCGACAGGATCAGCCCAAACCACGACGACCCAGCCAAGGGGTACATGTACTGCTGCGACCTCCGGAGCTTTTATAAGAAGAACCACAAGGAGTTGGGTCTGGACGAGCTGAAAGATTTCGTGGGGTACAAGAAGTTGGAACTGTCGCCCTGGAAAAAGACGGGTGAGTACAAGCCCTCGAAGAAGAACAAGGAAAAAAATTTTTGAATCTTTTTTTTCAACGCGTCCCTCATTCGTTAATTAATTTTATTATTTATTAATTTAACAAGCATGTACAAAAAATGTAAAAAAAAAAAAACAATGTTAATGTTAATATTAAGTAGGATAAGTGAAAAAGCCAAGTGTGGGGTTTTTTTATTCATGTCGACGTTGTGCCCATCAAGTCGACCTGTCTCTGGGCATAGCAACCTGTACAGAATACAATAATTCAACTAAATTAAAGTATGAAAACAAAAAAAAAAAAAAATTTTTTTTTCTGAAAAAAAGTTATGTGTGGTTTTGTGCCTCAGTATAATGCATTAAAATTGTAACTATGTTCATCGACACGTGCCACTTGTAAATAATTCTGAAGAGGTCGACGCGTGGATCGACGAAGCGCCAAATTCGTAAAATAAATGTGCTCCATCTCACCAAGTTGACAGGCTCCAGTTGTTATTTTTCAACTTTCCCAAGTGGATGAACACACGGTTCATCGGAGTTTCCTCGTTGAATGTCTTTGACAAATCTACCCTCCGCCAATAAGTGAAGTTTTTGCCTCCAGGTGTCCTAATGAAATCAAGTTTTTCAGGGCAATCCCTATAATGTAGCCGTTATAAATTTTCACGTCAATGTACTGATATTGCAAAAGTTTCAAAGTCATCTCCAATAGCCAAAAAAAAAAAAAAAAATTAAATTAAATTGAACATTCAATATCGCTTGAGAGTCACGTGTACGCGCGTCAAAACGGCTGCGCCGACGGTGTACGACGAAAGTACAAAAGTGCTCCCGATCTCCTGTAATTGAAGAACACCGTCGTCTTCGGTTATTGAACGAGAGCATCTATCCCGATACGCTCCTTCTCAGCGGAGTCGGCGAAACTTTTGAGAGGCTTTTTTCGCGTTGTTTGCTGGCACACGCGATTCTTGTTTTTTTTTACGGAGTACAAAAAGTTTCTTTTCTCCTGTAATTTGTTAAAAGGAGTGGAGAACCGTGTAGCCTTCGGTGCGATGATTTGAGAAGTTGGGGAGAAAAAGGAATCCAACGAAATATTAATCAGTAATAAATCTATGCTGTACATGATTTATCGAGCTAAAGTAAAACTTTGGAAAATCAAGGGATCAATTTCATCTGTTAATACATTTCGTACAGCCAATTACGCCTCGTTGGAAAAATAATAATAAATGCACGCGAGAGTAGCTTATTTGAGGATATAAATCGTATAAAAATTTGTACAACCAGCAAGGATTTTTTTTTGGGGGGGATAAATAAAGTAACAACTCAGCTGCGAAATTAAGATTTTCAGAGAGAAACTTTATATACATATACATATCAATTTTCATATGTATGATGTGTACTCCATAATAAATATATATATATATATTTATAATCATTTTTCATGCGCGTACTTTGTTTTGATTTAAAATGTCAATGGTCATTTATTCAATCGAAGATACAAGCAATTGCGCAAAGACATTGATTTTTCTTTTATTTCTATATGTATTTTTTGACGTTTGTTTAAATTTTCGGTTTTTTGATCTGTTTCTCTCTCTCTCCCTCTCTGACGTTCCTCCGCCTCTATACCATCCGTCTCTCTACGATACGTATACCTATAATTTAAAAACAAAATACAGCGCATACTCCCCTGCACAAAGTTCATAGTCTTTCATTACGTAACATTTGTGTGGTTTTTTTTTTTTTTTTTTTTTTTTTTTTTTTCGCCAGATCGCCTTTTTTAGAGCAGATGGAAGCTAGAACAGCTGTTGCACGAAAACAAACGACATACGCGTGCACAAGTGCGTTTGTTTCTCGTAACTTAATTATCTTTGCATCGAGAGTAAAAATACTGATTTTCTATTTTTTTTTTTTTTTTTTTTTTTTTTTTTTTTTTTTTTTTTTTTTTTTTTTTTTTTTTTTTTTTTTTTTTTTTTTTTTTTTTTTT